TTCTAGTATCTTATGAAATTAACAAGAGCACCAAAATGAACCAATATACTATAAGGCTAGTTACGAAGAGACCAAGTATTCACGTGTTGAAAATGGTAACTGCATCTATTCTTAGTAAGCAAAATTAAAGGTCGCTTGCTAGCAAAATGAAAGGTAGAGTGGTGAAATTAACTTTCTATCTTTGTTGTTTTCCTTTGAATTTAATTTAATACCTGCTGCGGTATTAGCCAAAGATGAAGTTGTTCTTCAAAAGAAGACGGTAGCCCTATAATTTGTGTCATATGGCTTTGAGTTTGACTATTTTATTTTACGTCTTGTTCACATTTGAGTTGTAATTATTTTCCTATTTTCTTCCGAATACTGTATCACTAATAAATATGGATTTCTGAATTTTTAACCTGTATATTTTAAACCTGACAGAAGATTTTATAAGAAATATTTATTTTGCTACCGTTTATAGTAAAAAAGTTTATTGAATAGTTCATTATGAATTTGTCAATTTTTTATGCGTATGTTTTATACTGTTTTTTAAGAAATTGCAGATATTACAAAGGGTAACTTTTTTTTGGTCACACTCATTGATTTAAAATGTCTGTAATTCAGAAGTTCAGATATTTTTATATCTATAATATAAATGCTGTTTAAGCGAAAACTGAATTTACTTATATTTTCCTAAAATTTTCCAAACTAATGTGTAATGTATGTGTAATGTAACGTGGAAATATTATTGCATTGGCAATGTTTTTTTTTAGTTTGTTCTGGTTTAGACGATTGCAACTCTAGTAAAATCTAAAATCTCTTTATCTTCAGATGACGAAAAACCTAAAGACTTACTTTTTTTCTACAACTGGAGACCATTTAGGATCTACTAACGAGTCGCCTGAACTAAAATCTAACTTTTTAAGTTCTGTTTGTGTTTTTTTTTTATATCCATTCTGTATTTTTATTAGCACACTTTACGACTTTTTTCTACATACAATAATTTTTGTACACATAAATGTCCATAGCACTTTTCAAACGTATTTTTTATGCAGTCACTTTTTTTCACTTTTATGATCGGAAACAAAGAAACAAATAATTTTAAAACTTGGACTTTCGCAAAATAAACAAATTTTCGTTTCACGCTAAGCAGTAATTGATTTTTGCTAGAAACGAAAAAAAATGAATGTCCAAAAATTAAAATTGTTTGTATCTCTTTTTCTTCTTCTGCTTCTCCTTATTCTTCTTCTCTTCTGCAGTTTTGAGAATAACGGCGTCATACATATATGAATGACATGGCCCCACAGAATATTTTTCTCTAAGAGGCCGCGTCGTTCATATACATATACTCGTATTAATATGACAGTATGAACATTAAAAAAAATGCCAAAAAAAAAAACAAAAAAGTACAATGTTTTTATTAAAATCGAGTAAACATAATTACGCTAGTAAAACAAAAAAAAATATTTGGCCGTTTTTACAATTGTGGCTTGGCAGCCAACGTTATTAATGAGAGACCGAAAACTATAATAATCTGTAAAAGAAAAATATATAAATATTAGAATTCTTTGGTCTTTGGCAGCATTTTTTATTTTGATTTTTAGATAATTAAGAAAGCGGCGATGACTTCCCTTTAACCAAAAAAGGACGAACACTTTCAGATCTTGTTAATATCTCTGTAAAAAAAACGAAACAGAATATTAAAAAAGGTAAAGTATTGTCATGAAACATGAATTTATAATTTACTTCACAAATGCTAAACACTTAAGTTCCAAACTAATAATAATTATATTATTCGCTTTTATCAAAAAATAAATTAAAAGGTATTATATATGTATTAGCTTTCCTTTTAATTTTTAGGTTGGAGACCAGAAGAAGTACAAATGATTAAAGAATATTTTAAAAGTGATATGGCCCGAAATACTTACCCTTCTGGTGAGAGGATAAAAGAGTTTATCCAAATCAATAAACTTCAACGAAGCGTTCCAGTTGTTAAATCCAAAATTGAACATTTACTTAAATTATGCAAGCAATAGCTATGTTCGTCTTGCGTTTTTTAATTTTTATTTTTTATTTTTAATAACATTGCTTTAGCTGAGAAATGAACATTTATTTAAGCGCAGTTAAAATAAGATGTATTAAGAATTCTTATAAACATAAATAAGTACAAAAATTATAAAACAAAATGTATTAATACTACTTACCTACTAAAAAATTACTCGTCTTAAATATCAATAATAGTATTATTAGCAAAATTAATAACGTGACGCGGTTATATGGAAGTGGTTTTTGAGATATTTGTCAAATACAAAGAGCTCTTCTAGCCCGTCGCGCCACGCAACTTTGGGCACTATTATGATAATCATCGGTAAATAGTCGTACCAATATACAAATTTCGGAATTTTTTGTTTAAAGTTAAAAATCAAAATATGAAACACCATGTTTCCTTGTTTCCACCTAATTTTCTTTAAGAAATATGTCTACACTATTTAATATTTCTTTCAAAAAACTAAAAAATGTAACAACATGCCTGCTACTTACGTACCTCTTTCGCATCAGCTAAACTTTAAAAAATACACAACTTTATTATAGCATTAAATAATATAAAAGGAATAACAATATTAACACGTAGTGCCCTCCACAATATGGCAACAGCGCTTGAGGGAAGTGCGACTAATTATTACATAAAAAATACTATAGAATCGGAGGGAACTAACACTAAACAATATCTTTAAAATGTATATGAATTTTATTGATGGAATTCTTTACCCCTCTCTTGAGGGACATATAAAGACACCACCCCTTAATATATATACAGAAGCATTTTGCTATATATGCAACAGAAATACTGGAGGTCGGTCCGTCTGGTGTTTATAATGGAGGGAAGAACGAATTAACGATACATATATATATATATATATATATATATATATTCAGGCCTACTTGGATCTTCTTTCCATATTGACAATCCTGTAAAGATTTGCAAAAAAGAAGTGTAGCTTAATCAGTAACAGTCATGTTATTGAAAAAGAAGAAACCATATGGTTGTCATTCCAAAAACAGCATATAACCATGAAAATTAAAATAATGACATACAATGTTAAACATGAAAGGATAACTCAACAGGCCCGAAGTTTTGGTGTTAAAGCTAATTTAAGTTCTAATTTTAATATAACAAATCATTTTTTTATCCGTTAGTGATTTTGTAAAACTAAATATTAAGTTTATGAAAATTAATTTAAGGTTATGTTTAGCCCCTAGTCCAACATAGACACGATCAATGTAATCCTTAGGCCAACATTGACTCTCAAAATTTTTTGTAGATGGCACGCACAAAGAAACCCAGACGGCCTAATATTCGAAAGTACAAGTCCTATGATCCCGAGGCTATGCAAAAAGCTCTACAAGCAGTTAAAAAAGGTGACAGTTTTAAGGCAACCGCTGAACGTTATGGCATAAACCGGACAACTTTAATGAACCATTTTAAGGGATTTAAGTGTAAAGCTGTTGGACATCCTACAGTTTTAACCTATGAAGAAGAGGAAATGTTGGTGCATACGTTAGTTAAGCTTGGCGAATGGGGCTATGGATTCGACCGACTACAACTACAAAGGTGTGTGCAAGGCTATGTGCAAAAACTTGATCGACCGAATCCGTTCCGCAATGGAATGCCAGGTATTGATTGGTGCATGATGTTCGAAAAAAGATGGTCTAAAGAAATAAGTAGACGAGTGGCTCAAAATCTTCCCAAGAATAGAGCTGTAGCGAGGTCACGGGAGGTAATGGAAGATGTTATAATAAATTGGAAGCTGTCTATTCGCGTTTCGGTTTGGATAAAAAGCTACAGAACATCTTTAACTGTGATGAGATTGGTTTTCAAACCGATGCAGGTGTCCAGAAAGTTTTGTGCAAAAGGGGTAGCCGAAATCCAAACAAATTAGTCGGTAGCGTCACAAAAGCTACGTACACGGTTCTTATGTGTTGCAATGCTGTTGGAGACTTCTTACCAATGTTTATCAACTACGAAGGACTTCACCTCTATTCTACTTGGTGCGTGGGCGGGCCGGAGAATTGTCGTTATAATTGTTCACCGTCTGGTTGGATGGAGTGCCTTCAGTTTTTTGATTGGTTTACTGTTTTATTCCTTCAACTTCAGATTTAGAGGGCACTAAACTTCTTATTTTGGATGGGCATAACTCACATTTGTCTTTGGACTTGGTAGAAACAGCCGCAAAACATAATATCGAAATATTTTGTTTACCAGCTCACACGTCCCATTTAGTTCAGCCTCTGGATGTTGGCGTTTACAAATCGGTTAAGGCGTCTTGGAGAAAAATACTTCGAGATTTTTATCAAGAATCGGGATATAAAAATGTCGATAAAATTATATTCCCTTCTTTAATGAAAAAATTGGCCAACACTCCAAGTTTGTCCAGAAGTAATGCGGTAGGTGGCTTTGACGGGTCGGGCATTTACCCTTTGTATTTAGAAAAAATGACAAAAAAATCTCAGATGGCAGATAGTTAACGGTGAGGATTCTACTCAGATGCCATCCACATCTTCTGCGGACTCAGGCGAAAATGGCCAGTTGCCGTCGACATCTTACAACATAAGGAATAAAATAGCAGAACCGATACCCTGTTCTACTACACCAGAAGATATTAAAAGAAGTTTAGCAAATTCAATTTTATCAGTCTAACCTCAATTATTTTGGGTAATTCATCATCTGACTAAAGCACATAAGTCACAATAGGATATATCGATGGGTGTTTGACAAAACATCGTAAGCGACAATTTTGTCACATTACGTTTTTTTGGACCAAACTGTCGGTTACGATAGTCTGCACCAGTGTGATATACTTTTCCCGCGTTTTTGGATCTCACAATTGGTCAGTTTCAATATTTTTTCTAACGTAAGCGCCTGTCGTTTTAAATTTGTTACCGATTTAGAACGTAAGCGCCTATATGTTCCCGATAAATAATCGTAACCGCCGCATAGTCATGGCGTTTGCGATTCTACACAGTCGCTTACGATAATATTTTTTTTCCCACCTCGTTCTATCAAGGCGTTATTCCCGCTTTAAAAACATCTTATTCGTTAGTACACAGTACACAATAGCACGTGGTGGTTGTTAAGTAGAAAAATATCCTATGATAATAATTATTATCGTTATTAGCTAGTGTTTTTTGTTACATTTGTTGTTTGTAGTAACGCAGGTATGTTAATTATTATTATTAAATATTAAGGTCGGGTTTGTGATAAAAATCTCGTTTTTATTATAGAAAGCGTTAATATGTCACGGGGTCAGCGTATTGCTTTAATGGCAATAGTGGACGAAAATCCAGTTAGTAATACGGAGACCAATATTACAATAAATAAAATTCCAGATTTTGTACCACTTCAAAATTGTAAAAACATAGGGGTTACCACGTGTACAGATGGTGAAAATATTATTATTGTTAATAACAGTGGTGACTTAACTGTAGAAGATAACTGTGGTTCCGTTAATCTTTTCAGTAAAGAACTTAGCTGTGATTTTTCAAATCCAACTCAATCATTATTGTTTGATATTGAAAATCTGCCAATAGATTTTGAAAATACTGACAGCTCTATCCTTACAGAGATACCAGCAGAAACCAGTTCTCAGCAGTCAAATGAAATTGGTTTAACTGACATTATAAAAACTGATACTTTTCAAAATGTAAAAATTATTTCTCAAGTTAGTCTGGTCGATTATTCGAGTAGCTCAGATTCGGAACATTTCGAGGTTGAACATCCTTTAGCTACCACAAAATCAGATAATTCTAAAGTAAAAAACTTGTCGAAAAAAAAATTTAAAAGATTTGACTCTGATTATTCGTTTTACGAAGAGAAAGATTCAGATTATTTCTATTCAAGTTCAGAAGAGGAAAAAAGAGTAGAGGTAGATACCGATAATATTGTTGGTGATGCTGGCCTAAGGAAATCTAAAAAGAGAGAAAGAAGAAAATAAGAAAACTGGAAAATACCTTAGGTATTAAAAGATCAGTCCAAGAAAACCCATGCAAAAACAAGAAGTGTCAAAATTCCTGTGCAACAAAATTGACAGAACAGCGCCACGATATTTTTAAGTTATTATTGGGGTTTAGGCAGTTACTCCAGGCAAAGAGACTGGCTTTTGTCCTGCATTAAGGAAACAGAGGTTAAGAGAAGACGAGTTAATACAGAATACAGTAGAAGAAACAGGACCTTCAATTATTTTATTACATGGAATGACCAGGAAATCGAAGTTTGTCAACAATTTATTTTAAAAACTTTATGTATTTCACAAATGACTTTAAGATACACACAGAGTAATGCCGCTGATAAAAAGTTTGCTAAAATTGATCAAAGGGGCAGGCATGATCCTACTCACAAAACTAGTAAGGAAGATAGAAATAGTGTTTATGAATTTATTAAGAAACTTCCTGCTGTGCCATCCCACTATTGTCGGACCAGCACGACAAAAAAATATCTACCATCTGAGCTTAGGAATGTATCATTCCTTTACCGGGTTTTTGTAAAAGACCAACTTGAATTGTATAAGCGAAAAACTAAAGTGTCTTTAAAAGTATTCAGACAAATTTTTAACAATGATTTTAATATTGGATTTCATATGCCAAAAAAGGATAAATGTACATTATGTGAGTCTAGAAAACAGGAAAGTGCTAAGTTCACAGAAGTTGAAGAATGTGCTTATCAAAAACATTTAAAGGACAAAGAAGAAAGTAAAAGCCAGTTCCTCTTGGATCAAAATATTTCAAAACATGATGACAGTTTTGTATGCGCTAGTTTTGATCTCCAAAAAGTTTTAAATACCCCACATGGGGACAACATGCTGTTGTATTACTCACGAAAATATTCATTTTATAACGAAACCATTTACGAAAGTGGAACAAGAAATGCTATCTGTTATTTATGGGGTGAGAGAGATGGAAATCGTGGTAGCAATGAAATATGTACTATCATTTACAAATATTTAGAAAATCTTGATGAACGAAAGAAAATAAAATCAGTATCGCTTTATTGCGATAGCTGTGCCGGACAAAACAAAAACAAGCCAATGTTAGGAATGCTATACACATTTTTGAAGATCTCGAAGAATATCAGGCATATTAAAATAACTTTTCTGCTTCCTGGACACACCTACATGCCTGTAGATGCAGTTCATGCCACCATAGAAAGATTCGTTAACAAGCGAATAATTTGGGCACCATCAGAGTGGTCGACCATAATTAGCAATGCAAGGATAAACCCAAAACCTTTTCAAGTGGTAATGTTGAAACATTCCGACTTCTTGTCTTGGAAGTCTCAAAACATCTTACCCACGGGAATTACAAAAACATTAGACGGAAGCATATTTCAATTTAATCAAGTAAAAATTGCTTTATTTGAAAAAGGCAAAGATGAAATTCAAGTTCAATATTCCTATTCAGATTCCGCCGATATTTTGGTTTTATCCCTAACCAGCGGAACTGCTAAAGGTAATTTTTTTTTTCTATTTTTCTTTTAAACATAATTTTTTTTAACATTATAAAATTCGATGACATTTTGGAATTAAATTTATTTTTGCTTTATACATCAGTACATCACTTTTCCGCCGGTCTTCGTGAACAGCATTAAAAAGTAGTTTTGTAATCGCTAAATATGTTGCAGTTTTACAAAAAAAATTACTAAATATTTTTTTATACAGAGCTAAAGTAATTTTCTATGGTTTAGTTGCTTGTCGGTCTCTCTGGGCTTATTTTTTAAACCTACAACCTCAACATAATGTATAACTTTTGTATTTAATATAAAAATGTACGATTAATATTATTATCGGTTTCAGGTAAAACTAGTAGAAAACTAAAAAACGCATCTAATAAGTTAGAGGCTATCTATCCGCAACCTCTAAAGATTTCCCATTTGAAATATAGAGACCTTATGCAGCTCTGCGAAAAAAAAAATTATTCCTCGTCAATATGTTGAGGAATATACAAAGTTTGTGGGCACAGCTGAAGTTCCGGACACTTTGGCCGAAACCGATGGGGAAGATGAGACAGGAGAAGACTACTAATTGATTTACATATTTTATTTTTAAATTAAAAAGTGAATTACTTACTTTTTATATTATTTTAATTTTCGAATAAATGTCGTTCTATGTTTCATAAAACTAAAGTAATTTTTTGTGTTTTTATAGTCTTCTTCACAAAATGTCTTTAGTAATTTATCGAGTTAATTTTAGAAACTATTCTTTTTTCGTGAAAATTATAAAATTTACATTGTCGCTAACGTTGTTTTGACAAAAATTATCATTCAATCCGTATCCCATAAAGTAACGTAAGTGCTACTTAAGCGACAAGACAAAACAACAGATTTCATCAGATGTTCTGATAAACTATCGTATGCCACAAAATTTAATGAAAACTTGGGTTTGAATGCAATTTTTTTAAATTATTATATTTCTATATTAATAAACTAATACCATTCAAGTTTTTATAAAAATAACTTTTAAGATAAACTTCTGACACAAAAATATCATTTCCTGTAAAATTAACTTTTTGTCGCTTACGATGTTTTGTCAAATAACCATCGATACCGTGGCATAATAAAGTGTGTACGTGTGTACCTTTTCAACTTTCATTTTGTTTTCAATTTTCAACAGTCGCCATATCTCTTTGAGTTGTACCTCTGTTAAAAGCGTAATTTGAGTGAATTTGTTGAAAATGGATAACACGAAAGGTCAGAAAATAGTGGCATTATCATTAGCAAAAGAATTTGATTGGGAATGTAAGTAAAGACATATTATCTATTCATTGTTTATAAGAGTAAATTAGCCGGACATATGTTTGCCGTAGAACGAGGTTTAGGGGTTTACGATGATATTATAATAGTTTAATTAACACAAAAACGTCACCTAGAGATCTCCGTGGGGTATCTTATTTGTGGGAAACTAATAATTGTGATAATTAACAGACGCTTTTACCCCTAGCCTCCGTAAATAGGTTGTTATTAATTTTATTACACACCTCATGTGGTTTAGGTTTAAGATTACCACTAGTCCCCATTTAAATATCTTAAACTTAATGTAGTCATTTAAGAATTGCATATTTCCATTGATACTTAATTTATTTTTAATTATTGTGGAAATGTTATTAATTAACAGTTAATCTAGTAATTGACACTAGTTGTTAAATAGTCGTGTTTAATATTGAACTTTTATGTTTATCCGAGGTTAACGCATGTCAACGCATAAACGAATAATTGTGACATTAAAACTTGGGTAAATAATTAAAATTTTCTTGTCAGTTAAACTCATTCTGGTAATTGTCTGTTTAATTACATTATTAGGTTAGGCAATAGAATTTATGATATGGTAATGGTTTATGGTCTAATTCACGTATATGAACGTATTGTGTCGAAGAATAGGTAAGCTACGAAAATGTCAACAATTGAAGAAAGAGTGCAAACTCTTGAAGAGCAAGTGAGGGAGCTCCGGTTGGGGCAGGCGGCTGCCGCCGCCCGTCCAATCACGCCGCCAATGCCGCCAACTCCCCCTCCCCCACAAATGCTGCCAATTACGCCACCGCTGCCGCAGAAAAAAAAGGCGGCTGCCCAAAAAAAAAGGACAAAGAGGAGGAGGACGATCCCACCTACCGGTCGTCCGGCTCTTTGAAAGTTCCAGAGGGCTCGCCGAGGGTGACCAGATCAAAGTCCCCTCGACAATAAAAGGGAAGGTGCTGCGATATGGATATTATACCTACCTACATTAGGACAATACTCAATTTGTAGCCGCTTGAGAGCCTTAGTAGAGATGAATTTGGTTCGGCTATTTGGAGTATTATAGTGGACCGTCACTTGGGATTGCTGAATGTGAGTAAACTCCTGGTGTCCCTTTACATACATAACTTTTGCTACGACTCACCCTCTTCTTCACTGTAGCTAGTCGGCGTCCAACACTTGTATTAATAGAAATCTCACCTCACCTACCAAATGAAGTATGGTCCACCGAAGAGTTTGAGACAGTGGTGCAATGACCAGCAGGTGACCCAACATTTATCATTTAATAGTATATAATGTATAGTTTATGGTAGACTATGTAAGTTGTAAATTAATTTTAATTACCACTGTAATACACTATATAGATAGTTTAAAAAGTTTTCGTGTCTTCTATTTTAGGCATCAGTACCTGAACCCTGCTTGGAAATTGTTAAAAGTTTATTAAAGAGGCCATAAAAACAAAAATATTCTCCAGCACTCAAGGCGCTTGTATTAACACTCACTTTTATTCACCAAAAGCCTATGATTACATCAGGGAGACCTTTAATAATACCCTGCCTCATTCTAAGACCTTGAGCAAGTGGTAACACTCAGTAAATGGTACCCATGTACTAACTAACTAAATAACTGAAGAAGCACTGAGAACTCTTACTTATAAGGTCCAGGACATAAAATCCACAGGGAATAAAGTTCCTTACAACCTCATTAAAAAACAAGTTGAGTGGACAGTCCTGAAATTAACTGGGTATATATAGGTATTCCGGTTGACAGTGGTGACTTGGAAAAAGCCACCAAAGTTCTTGACTATGTGCTAGTAGGTGTTAATGGTTAATGGCATACTTTTTTAAATGGTGTTGATTCAATTGAAAAGGCAAATATAACAACTACTGTCCTTGATTTTATGTGGTAGTTACATCATTCACATTTGATGGAACTCCAACTAATTTAAAGACAGCACAAGAGTTGGGAGCAAATTTTAGTAATGTTGACAGCATAATTTCTTATTTTCGACATCCCATTACTAAAGAAAATATATTTATTTAGATGCTTGTCACGTATTAAAATTAGAAACACAGGTGGGATAGAATCCGATATAAAATGGTACTACATAGAAACAATTTACATTTAAAAAATTTACAGTCACAAGGGTTGTTAACAGGGGCCCAATTAAAAAGAAGACACGTTCAGTTTGATAGCCCAGACTTTAAGCAACAGTGTTGCAAATGCTCTTCTGTTTGCGGCCAAAGATTTAAAGTTAAAAGAATTTAAAGATGTGGTTTTCCTAATGCAACATATTTAACATTTCTTATAACCTAGTTGATATTTTTAATTCAAAACATTATTAACAAGTATATATTTAAGAGAGGAGTTACGAATGCAAACTATAAGTTTATTGTTGAATATCTAGTAGCTATGCTAAATCACGCACCTCACTATGTAACATGTAATTTTATTTGTTACAATAAAGACATTTTATTATTATTAATGAATGCAAAGTAGGGGATAGTGGGGATCCTTGGGCAGGTGGGAGGCCTGGGCATTTGTGAATAAAATCATACGCAAAACATTAGACACGCCCCTGTCGTGGTAGCCGAATAGTATTGGCCTTGCTTCTTCCAGCGAACGTCACAGTGCAGCGGTGTCAGTTATCCAGACACGACAAAAACCAGTTTTATGTTTATTTACTTGAAAACAAACAATTTTATCGGTGATTATTGTACTTGTAAGGTCCTTAAATCAATGTAAGTATGCTTTCTTTTTTTTAATCCGTATATATCACTTTCTTGTGCATGCAATACTGTATTATTTGGTGGTTAAAAGTATTTGTTTAGTGTAGTACTTTGCAATTGAATTTTAATGGCGCCGGCGGGATGCATGGACACCGAACGGTGCGGGAACATTGGGCATGCCCATCCATCCCTACCTTACAGTATTTTTTTTTATTTTCAGAAAAATATGCCGTTTTGCTACAAGAAAGAAACAAACCGCATTGAAATACCACGTGACATAATCGAAAGAGCTATCGACGAAGTCCGCATGGGAGCAAAGATTCAGCCAACTGCGATAAAGTATGAGATCCCCAGATCTTCCCTTCAACGTTACTTAAAGTTAGAGCGACCTTTGAAAAACACAGACGACAAATATATAACGAGACAGATATTCACTACTGATGAAGAAAAAGCACTTCGTGAATATTTAATTAGATGTTCCCAATTACATTACGGCTTGACTAAATTAAACTGTAGAAAGTTTGCATACGAATATGCAGTTGCTAATGGAAAAGTTATTCCTGAAAATTGGAAGCAGCATAAATATGCATCAAAAGACTGGATCAGGGGCTTTATGATTCGAAACAAAACTTTATCTTTGCGCACTCCTGAGGCGACTAGTTTGTCACGAGCCACCAGCTTCAACCGGAAAAACGTAATGGAATTTTTTGACAATTACAGAATGATATTGGATCGCTATAAATTTGGACCACAAGCAATATATAATATAGACGAAACTGGATTAACGACAGTGCAATCTACGCAGAAAGTTTTAGCAGTGAAGGGTTGCAAGCAAGTAGGACAAATGACATCTGCCGAAAGGGGCACCTTAGTTACCCTGTGCTGCACGATTAATGCTATTGGAAATTATATACCGCCATTTTACATATTCCCTCGAGTGAATTTTAAGCAATATATGCTGAGTGGTGCCCCGGTTGGATCCGATGGTGCAGCTTATACATCTGGGTGGATGACTGCACAAAATTTCGTTTTATACCTGAAACATTTCATTAAATATGTTAAGCCGTCAAAGACTTCACCTGTAGCCATTGTACTTGACAATCATGAAAGCCACATATCAATAGAAGCGTTAGACTTGTGCAAAGAAAACGGCATAGTGATGCTAACCTTCCCGCCTCACTGTAGCCACAGGCTACAGCCTTTGGACTTAACGGTGTTCGGACCGCTTAAGAGATATTACAACGTTGCTTTAACAGATTGGCTTTCTATGAATCCATCAAAAACTTGCACTATTTATGAAATAGCAAAATTATCTGCACTGGCCATACCTCAGGCTTTTACTCCCAAAAATATTCAACACGGATTCGAGAAAAGTGGCATTTGGCCTTTCAACTCTAATGTTTTTACAGACAACGATTTTCTTAGTTCCTATGTCACGGACAGGCCCATGTTGATAGAACAAGAGGAAGACGTTGTCGCGACTTCAGTTCAAGAACAACCAATGACTAGTACTACTGATCCGCATTTTCCCGTAACTGCTAGTGAAGAAAATAAGCCTTCT